CTTGTCAGATGAGTTTAGATGGTACTAGGGCAATTATGTTATTTTATGATTGCATACTCAATTGATACTGTGAAGATGGGCTGCTGCTTAGCTGTTAGGAAGTATCCATGATCGTGTTTCTGAAAACAGCCAAGTATTGACAGACTTGCTTCTAGTACTGGATCTAAAGCACACTGCTTCAAAAAAAAAAAAAGCTTTCATGCCCCCTTGCTCACTTGCTGTAGCCTAGCATGAGGGACTTTTTTTATTTTTAATAAACTTTATATTGAATTATAATATACATATAGAAAAGTGAACATATTCTGCTTGTGTGTTCGTAGCACCAGTTCTCAGATCTAGAAATAGTATTCCATTGCATTTTTGTGTCTACATCTGGTAACCACACTTTGAAAATCAGTGGTATATAAGTTTGTGATCAGTTTTTCTTGGATGTGGAGAAGGTGTTATGGAAGAGAGGGAATTACCCCAATAAAGAGGAGGGTCAGTTATGGTGCTGTGGATTATAAACCCTGCTGCTCTCTCCCACCTGTGTTATTCTTTCTTTTTTTCTCATTAAATAATGTGAATAGGCAGAGAAAGAGCCTTTGTAGATAGATTCATTAGGTTAGAAAAAGTAGATTGAGCTTTTTGAGGAGCTGTATTAAGCCTTTTTTCTTTCTTCCAGCCCCTCTGTCTCAGTTGTGGCTTTTGAGTTAATTTTCATTACATATCATGAACACTGATTTATATCACCTGAGGAGCGTGTGGTCAAGGGAAAGCATAAATATGTGAATACTTACCTCGAAACTTTCCTGACTTCTTCCAACTCTCAATCAGGTATGGGAATGGGCTTTATCTCAGATGTCAAATCTTGGATTGAAGGTGTCAAATCTGGGAGGATTGCATTGGAAGGATTTGGAGAGGAGTCTGGGCACAACAGAAAACAAGTGTTTTGGTTGAGTAGAGATTTTGGCCATGCACAAAAGAGACTGGACTGGTGTCTTGGGTACCAGATATTTACCTTCTGTGTTCTAAATGATACTAATGCCATTTGTTGACTCATAAACTTGGCACTCTTCTGTAGGACCACTCAATGCCTGGGATATGAGATTGGAAACAGTACAAATAGCAGCTTAAAAAATTGAACCAGTGGTCTCCCTTCCTTACATATGGATTCATCATACCTCCATATATTCTCTGGTCTTACCTTCCAACATCTTATAAAGTCCATCTGTATTGTGAGAGTATCAGTGGTGGCAGCAGCAGTTCCATTCAACTTATTGAACTTTAGGTGGAGCGTGGGAGTCTAGTCAGTGATTGCAGACACTTTTCTTAATGTGTAACATTAGCATAACCCAAATTATTTTCTATGTTACATAGGTAAACTGTGTGAGGGAAATAGAGAACTTGACCATGTGTAGGGTTAAAAATAGGGTTGATAATAAATTGCAACATGCATATTATTTAATATTTAAGAGCAGGATATCCCAGTGCGACAATGAATAATAGTGTGAGTACCTATATAATTTTATGATTCCATTTCAGGAAAGAGAAGATAAAGACTATGGAGACTGGACTGAGGGAGAGAATAGACTTTTGGGCACTAGAGATCTAAACATAGCTTCTCTTAGCTACTTGTGAGGTGCTCTGATTTCTGAGAAGAATGGTTGTGATGATACAGTTTTACGTGTTTTTCCATTTACTGAAGAAATTTTAGAACTTCCATTTAAACATAAGGAAATTTGGGGTCCTATAGAGGTGTTCCTTTCAAGTACAGTAGTTGTGGTTTTGATATACGTCTCTTACATTTTATCAGATTTTGAACTGTGGAATTAAGGGATATTAAGCAGAATAACAGAGGAAATGGCATTTTCACTTTTTAAAAGTCTAAACGTCCTTTCTGTTAGATATAAAATGAATCATATTGATTGTAACCACAAGATTTTTTTTTTTTGGTGGCTGGTCGGCAGGGGGATCCTAACTCTTGGCCTTAGTGTTGTCAGCACCATGCTCTCCCAATTGAGCTAGCCGACTAGCCCCTGGAGTGAGCACAAGATAGTAAAGCCTCTGTGGGAAATTTTGCTACAGTAAATGATAGGGAGAGAAGGGGAGGAGAGAGTGAGACAAGCACACTCCTGGTCAGACTGCCTCAGACCGTCAAAGAAGCACAAATGTTCAGTGTTATTAAATTAATTGGAAAGTATCTGTTGGGTGTCTACCATTTGTAAAACCTGTATGAGTACAAAGATGAATGCTAAGACCCTTTTTATGCTCAAAGAATTTATAATATAGTTAGGACCATAAGACATGTACACTATTGCAGAGCAATTATGTGTTAGGTGTTAAAAGTGTGGTTAAAAATTTTATAGAGGAATTCAAGGAACAAAAAGATCTTTGAGCTTAGGTAATCAGGAGCGTCTTCATGATGAAGATAGAATTTTTACTAAGGAAGTGATTCTTAAATGTGTGGTTCCCAGACCAGCAGCAACTGCATCCTGGGAGCTTATTAAAAATGTAAATTCTCAGACTCCATCTCAGAACTGCTGAATCAGAAACCTTGGGGGTAGGCCCAGCAGTTTGTGTTTACAAGCGTGCCAAAGCTTGAACACTACCATATCAAGGAAAGGTGACTGAACAATGACTGGCACACAGTAACTGCTTAGTTAAAGATAGCTACCTGAATGAAGGAGATGCACAGAGGGGTTTAGAGTTTCCTGTGCCATTTGGTTTAGATTCTGTTTAAGAGAATTCTTTCTGAATGAGTTAGATCCTTATTTCATCCGAATGTCCTTTGTACCATGTTGTCATTTTCATCTTATTATTCTCATCATTTAAAATGTTTGTACCACCTAGATAGGGGACAAAATTTGCATTTTTATAACATTCTTTGAAGCTTTTGGAAAATGTAAAAACATGTATCAGAATGATTGAACAATTTTGTGGCTAACTACTAGGTAAAAGTATATATAGAATAGATGTTTAAAAAGAGAGTTTCATGTCTTTCATCAGATCCTAGATAAATATCTTTTAGAAAATGAAGTTTTAAAACTAAAATTCATTTTTTATACATAAAAACGTGAGGTGTGTTTCCCCAACACTTCCACTACATTTTATAAAATGCAGGGTTTGGAGGGCATTTTTAAAGCCCCTACCCTGTCAACATTGAACCTATACTTTTTATTTCTTCTGCGATTTTAGAATAGCTAAACCCTAGGTGGATTGAAGGTATTGATTTGGGGCTTCACCTTGGCCACTTATCAGGATGTTGCTTGAAGGAGACTTTACTTTTTAGCCTTTGCTCACTGAGCTGCCCTGTGCCTAAAGTGGAAATGTTTTTATAGCGCTTGCCTAAGTAGTCTTCTGATTCTCTGTTCAAAAGGTAAAGTGATTTTAAAGACAGTTTAAGCAAAAGAAAGAAGAACCTGTGATCAGACTATGACTATGGTAGTTAAGCTTTAAGCTCAAAATGTGTTCCCTTTTCTGAAAAAATGAATTCATTTTCTCCTAATCTGGTTTTATCTCAATACCATCAATTTAGCACATGCCACAGAGAAGTCAAGTTGCTCTTATTGGTGTGTTGTAATCTTCATTTCTCAGGAGAAGGTATATTTAAAGTCTTTTTTTTAAAAGTTCATTATAGGGGCCGGCCCGGTGGCTCACTGCTACAGTGTGCCGCTTGGGAGCGTGGCGGCGCTCCCGCCGAGGGTTCAGATCCCACATACAGACCGGTTCCCGCTCACTGGCTGAGCGAGGTGCGGGCACAACACCGAGGGTTGCGATCCCGTTGCCGGTCCCGGTCCGGTACAGGCGCGACACTGAGGGTTGCAATCCGTTGCCGGACACGAAAAAAGACAAAAAGGAAAAAAAAAAAAGTTCATTATAGAGGAACTTTAAGGATCACATATAAAGTAACATATTAGGGTAATTGTTGAGGGCCCAGTCACGACATTTTCTAACACTTGTAGACTGAGAAAAATGGCAACCATATATAAAGATACATTTAAAACTTCCTGAAACTAAGGTCAAGGGTTCGGATCCCCGTATGATCCAACCACCAAAAAAACACCCCAAAATTTCCTGAAACCAAAGAACTAGCCAAGTGTTCATCAATATTTTCTTCAGCCAAATGCCAGGATGAAGAAGAGGAAAGGTAGTTGTGGCAATACCTATTTTTTTTGTATCAAGATTTGACCTGTATTTCAGGGACCTATGATTTTTATTTCTTCTAAAGGAAAAATGTTTTCTCTTTAAACCTACAAAATCATATTGATTCTGTAGCATTATTCTCATTTTTCTTATGAAGTATGTTAGTGTCAAGTCAAAATTGAACCACTTTTGTCTTCGAGTTCTGGTAGTTCAAGTTCCTTAGCTTGAGTATGTCCAGGAATTCAGTGCAAGAGTTTTGAGGGTTTATGTCTTCTCATTACCATTATTATTTTTTCCTACTGATTTTTTTTTCTTGTAGTAAAGCAAGTTTACATATCTATTCTGTCCCCCTCCCCTCCATGTCACCTCTTATACATTAAGTCGTACATTTGGCTGTTGTGGGTAACCATCTCTTACTTCCTGTGGGTATAATTTTGCAAGGTTGCAGAGTAAGACCTGTCAGCTGACACTTGCTCACATGAGAGCCATTCAGAGGGTGGTGTGGCCAATGTCAGAACAACCTTGCAGCTGAAGCAAGTCACTGCACTTGCCCAGAGCCATATGAATAGGTCTTGTGACCAATTAATTGACTACTGCATAATCTCCAGCTAGGGAGCACAGATGGAGTGAGTCAGTCCAAGCTGCTCAACCTGTTGAGTGTTTTGTCTTTTGCTAACTGGAGTACAAGCTCAGAAACAAAAGTAGGAAGTAGGATTTGGACTTGTCTGTTTATAATGGGTTTGCTGAGAGCATGTTTTATAAGGTGGTGGATGCATTTGACTTCCTAAGTCATTGTAGACTTAATTTATGTAACAAATGAGTGTTCCTTTTTTTTTTTAACTTTTGAAAGGAAATTAGTAGGCTCCTGCCAACTAGCTTGTCTCACATACTGTATTGAGAGCAAAATGATTGTTTAGAACTGCTGGTCACTGCAGAATATCCCTCAGACAACAAAGGAACTTCAAGATCTATGTCCAAGTCCATGCTGATGGTGAGGATAAACCGGAAGAACATTAAACCACTCAGGAGATGTGTGGCGGCACAGCGAAGACCACAGACTGGCCAGGTGGCTGGCAGGGTTCAGCCAGATGTGTGAGTGATGCTGTTTCTGGTGCTGGGAGGATTTACGAGACACGTTTATGCACAAAGATTCGAAAATTTGCCGGGGTAGGAAGGGGCACTGATCACACGGCACTCGACAACAGGTTTGAAACTTTAGTTTTATTTCAGAGTCACAGAGAAATTTTTATTTTATTCATCAAGTATCAAGGAGATGGAATTGTATTGCTCTGAAAGTTGTTTTTCGAGAATGCTTCTAAGTTGGAGAAATAGGGTCATTGGTGGGTGTGCAGAGACAAGTCCTTTCCTTTATAGAAAAAGTGTAGGCATGCGTAGTTTTTAGTGACTGCTAGTTGCATTTCTACTACCCATCTGCTTTCTTCTAAACTTTTCATTCCTGCTAGAGTCAATTTGCGAGAAATGGTGACATCTTTGTCCTTTGTTGAAGCTTGAGCAGTACTAGTCACAGTAATTAGGAAAAAAACCTTGCAATCCTGAAGTACCACCACAGTTAGTAGAGGGAGCACAGGACTGGGAGTTCTCACTTCATAGTCTGCCTGCTGGGTGGTTGGTTGTGCTTTTCTGGTTGGAGGCAGGGTGGTGAGAGAGAGCCCAGTCTTCTTCTGGAAAATCCTTTTCCTGAGAAAGATGTGTTATGATCAGCTAATTTTAATATGGGGCTTCTCTAAAAAGAATAACATATTTGATATATTCTTTTAGGTGGGTTATTTCATTCACTTTGGAAGAATTAATTAATTTCGTTAGTAGTGGCAGTTAATTGAAATACTATTTATGAAGAATTTTATTGTATATCAGTAAAATGGAAAAAGTCTGAGAATTGCATTTCATTCTAAAATCTTACATAGATAGTAAGGAGAGCCAAAGGTTAAGCTCTGAGTCTCATGATTAGTGTAAAAGTAAATTTCTAAATTCACTTAAATTTTTTTTCTTACAGAAATTTTCTCAAAATTAGTATGTCTCATGAACTGTTTATCCTATAAGTATATATCTTGGTATGGTTAAAAATAATCAAGATATAGTTTCTGTCATGTAAAAATCTTTTTCTTTAGTAGAAACTTTAGTAAATCTCTGCCTTTCTTTAGTAATAAAGTGGTATATGAGGGTACTTCAAAAAGTTTGTGGAAAAATATAACTAAAGGATAATACAAATCTTTCTATGCACTTTTTGAAGTACCCTTATATAGTACACTACAGTGTGAGAGCTCAGTAGATTGGAGAGTTAGGGAGAAGTGGGGAAGTAATTTTACAAGTGTTGGGTCACATGCTGTCCATTCAATTAAAGAGATCTATTTGTAGAGGAAGAGGTAATGAATGATGTGGTACATTAGAAAAATGAATTGAAGGGGCCAGCCCGGTGGCGCACTGCTATAGTGCGCCGCTTGGGAAGCACGGTGGCGCTCCCGCCGAGGGTTCGGATCCCATATGCAGACCGGCCGCTCACTGGCTGAGCGAGGGGCGGGAGCAACGCCGAGGGTTGCCATCCCGTGGCCGGTCCCGGTCTGGTACGGGCGCAACACTGAGGGTTGCGATCCGTTGCCGGACACGAAAAAAGACAAAAAGGAAAAAAAAAAAAATGAAAAATGAATTGAAGTATACAGATAAGAGTTTCATTTTTATAATAATTTGTTTTTATCTGTTTCTTATCAAGAAAGGGTAGCTGAGTGATAGGAGAGAGTAATGGAGTGACACTCAGTTTATCTTAATATGGATCCTGATCCGCATCTCTGTCCAGGGGACTTGTAACCATGGGTGAGTCTCTTGGCTTTTCTGGGTCTTGCTCTCAACTCTTAAGCTATGTAACTGCCTCAGATTATTTTAAGAATTCTTTTCTCCTATGAGATTCTAAGATATAGTATTAGGACCTTCTATATTTCCTATTTTTGTTATTCTGTAGAATTTTAGATCCCCAAATAGTTACTTGGGGTGAAGGGTGGGGAATGGGTGTTGACATAAGAATATAACATGCAGGGTCACACTAATTTTTAAAAAGAAAACTTCTAAAATATTTGGTATGAGCTGCTGCTTCTCACTTTCAGTGAGCTTGCTGTTCTGTGGTAGGATTTTAATCATTTTTATTTAAGCAGCACTTTAAACTTAACAAAACATTTTCATATCTGTTTCCCCTTTCTTTATTTTAACTTCCTTTAGATTTACTTCTGTAATGCTGAGATGTTTTTAGAATTTTGTACAGTATGACATGTATTTGTCAATTAATTGGAATTCGTCTCTGGACAGACCAGTTGTCTTGGTAGACCTCATCCTCTTTTTATTCCCCTTCCTGCAATCTTGAAAACATATTTATTTGCAATATTGTGTGTTTGGTTTCCAGAATTTCTTTAGGACTTGGGCCAACCTCGAGGGTAGAAGTGAATTATTGACAGGAGCTTGTACTGTAAGGATCTGGCTCCAAAGTGCTCATGAGTTACCTGTTTGTACAAGTCATGTGGCAGTCAGTGAGGTAGGACTTCCAACTCCCTTTTTGCTCTTGGATATCTTAAACCAATAGTTTCAAATGGTCTTCTTAGTTGAGCACACTAATAAGCAGGTTTTTTTCTCCTAATTATTCAAAAGATGAAGAGAAAGATTCCGGAAATACCTAACAGTGGCCACAGTATAAAACAGACACAGTTCAGTGCAGAAAGGAAAATTTTGGTCATCTCGTGATTCATGTGGCATGAAACATGAATAAAACAGTATAAAAGTTGTCCTCTTATCTTCATTTTCATTCTTCTTAACTTCTGTGATGACAAATATTGGGGTTCAATTCATATCACAAATTTCCAGAGTCATCAAAAACTACAGAGTTTGACAAAGCATCTTAAATTGTCAATACAAAAATTCCATGCTCTCAATTCGAATCTATTAACTGAAATATGATGCTGAGTATGTGGTGTAGTCTTCAAATAATTGCTTCCAATTTTCTTTCTTAAAATACTGACTATAGCAAAGCCGCTAACACCTTCTGATTTTTCAAACTTTCCCAGCAAATTAGATAAATCTATAGGGCCATTAATATGAGAAATCTGGGAGTGTTTGCCAAGCCTATCTGTGAATTGTTTTATCTGATGGCGGGAGAAAACTTGCCATAACCTTGTCTTTAAAGTATATTCTTCACACACTGAAGAGGAACTGAAACAAAGCACTTCAGAGTCAACTGTGCTTTACAGTTTCATATCTTGAAATTTGGATTCAGAAGAAATTCTCTAGTACTTTAGAATCACTAGGAAGGAACAAGCAGAAGAATTAATGAGTGTAAATATTCAATTTATGTGCATATTGGAGAAGCTAATTCTATTAAAAAAGGAAAATCCTTAGTCTGTTGTAGTTACTTAACAAGAAAGTAAGTACTTAAACGAGGGTGTGTTTTCTCCTAGTGAACTGCTTCACACAGATAAGCTGACCATGATTTTACTACCAGTCTTTATTTATAGTAGTTAGGATTACTGACAAGGAAATATAAAAATAGTCACAGATTTATAGAGAGATATGCTAAGGCAACAGACCAAACAATTCTGAAGATTCTAGTAAATGGCCATTAAAAGAAAGTACAATGCAGGTTGTAGGAGTGGGGAGAGAGTTTTTCATTGTGTTCTGCACACAGAAACAATATGAAAACCATTCTACTTTGATACTTCTTAATAGAAAATGTAGCTGTTAGACAAGTTGAATGAAGTGGGTAGAGAAAAAATCCAAACCCTAGTCAGCTGATGGTCTTGTGCTTTGTGACCAGCTTCACCAGGGAGGTTGTAAATTGCTGGGTGTGAATCTTTCAGATGCATTGGGCATTGTGTCACAAGTTCCTCTGCCCTTACTGCATTCCTTCCCTTTTCACTGATTTTGTGCGATGTGGTTTTTCTTCGACTAGTTAGAAGAGTTTATTTCCACTGGTTGATGGTTGAGATTTTGAGAAGTAATCAGAGACTGAATGAATGAATGAAGGAATGCAGTGGTAGCTTAGTGTTGCTGCAGTGTCCTGTCTGATTTAGGTTTCAAGAACATTCATCTTTTCTCTCTGGGGACACAGCACTTACTGGGAATCAGAGCAGTTGTTATAGAAGGGATTTTCATAGAAGCTGAGAACTGACAAACTTTTTTGGGGTCTTACTTTGATAAACGTTGATGACATAACAGAGTAGAGCACTTGTTATTTAGTCACCATAACTAAT